CGGGGATCGAAACTGCGTCGCAGAGGCCGCGGGCAGCTTCGCAACCCAGCGCTCAACCTCTGCGCCACCGGGGAGGCCCCATATTTGCTTGTAAATACATGAAAGGTGTTTAATAGACATGGAATAAAACAATGAAAGCAAATTAAGGCCTCCCTGGTGGCACAGGGAGTTGAGCACAGCACTGTCTGCAGCCTATGTTCAATCCCTGGCCAGCCAGGGAGCTATTCACATGGTGCAGCAGATCTCTCCTGTCTCGCCCGCTGCTCCCTTCAGCAGTGTATTTTGGTTAATCTGCCTGTTCTGCTCCCACTCTGTCTGGTGAGAGGCGAATCCTCTCACTGCCTGCACTTCTGGCCTGCACCGCAGCTCTTGTATGCACACATAGAAAAATCTTTTTAAAAAATAGAATAAATAAAATAAAAAAATAGCATGACATTATTTTCTATCAGAATACCAAAAATTAAAAAAACAAAAAACAAAAAAAAATAAAAACCTGGTCTACTGCTAAGACACTCAAAACAAACCTGGCCTACTGTAGAGAAAGAATGGAATACTGTTACTGAAATATCTTTGCAAGGCAGAGTCCAAATTGTGTTTCAAAAAAAGCATTGCTTTAAATGCTTTAAATGGTCAAAAACAACTTTTATTTTCTTTTTTTAAAGATTTATTTTTAGATTTTTTACGATTTATTTTATTATTATTATTTTTTTAAGATTTACTTATTTATGTATACCTCTGGTATAGACCAGAGGTGTGGGAGGTGAGAGGATTCACCAGAGACAGAATGGGGAACAGAACAGGCAGACTGACTGAAATACACTGCTGAAGGGAGCAGCAGGTGAGTCAGGAGAGGTCTGCTGAGCCATGTGGGTTAGCTCCCTTGCTGGGGATTGAACTTGTGCTGCAGTGGCTGTGGATAGTTTCACAGGTTGTTCCTCAACCACTTGCGCCACCAGGGAGGCCCTCAAAAATAACTTTTCTAAGGACTCTCTGGAAGCTGTGGTTGTCTCATAGGGAGTGAAATAAGAGTACCTAGTTAGGGTGAAACTTTTTATCATCTACAATTTTTTTGTGGGGTAACTGGGTACATATATTCCTTTATCAACTCAAAGTTAATTTAAAAGAGCAGAGACTGGGTATTAAAACATGAAACTTTCTACTGTGATTGCTCTTTTTCTATTATTAGTTGTTGCTGTTAGGCTGTTACAGAGATCCCTAGGTTTCTCCAACATGGAAGGTACAGGGCAATAGAGTGGCAAAGTGGCAAATCGGTTACTATGGGGGGCATAAGTTGAACCACAGGTGCCTGCTGAGAAATAGAGAAGATGGGGAATCTGACAAAGAGGCTGATCAAACAACTGGGTGTAAGGTATTAGGGATGGGAAGTAATTCTTTTGGTATCTTAAGAGGTTAACAGAAACCAAAGCTCACAAAATATACCTGTTAATATGAATTGAATTCATATAACTCCATAAAAAATAAGTAGTATCTTTAGAAGGTTGAGGAACCTCCAGGCAGCTTTCCATAGTGGTTGGACCAGTTTGCACTCCCACCAGCAGTGCAGGAGAGTTCCTTTTTCTCCACATCCTCGCCAACATTTGTTGTTGCTAGTTTTTTTAATATGTGCCATTCTCACTGGTGTGAGATGGTATCTCATGGTAGTTTTGATTTGCATTTCCCTGATTACAAGTGATGTTGAACATTTTTTCATATGCCTGTTGGCCATTTGCATTTCCTCTTTGGGGAAATTTCTTTTTAGCTCTTCTGTCCATTTTTTGACTGGATTATTTACTTTGTTTTTGTTGAGTCTCCATCTGATCCAGCAATTTCACTCCTAGGTAATTACCCAAAGGACACAGAAACATTAATTCAAAAGGACACCCCTATGTTTATTGGAGCACTATTTACAATAGCTAAGCTATGGAAACAACCCAAATGCCCAAAAATAGATGACTGGATCAAGAAGATGTGGTACATATATACCATGGAATATTACTCACCAATCAAAAAAGATAAACTCACGCAATTTGCAGCAACATGGATGGAGCTGGAAGATATCATGCTCAGCAAAATAAGCCAGAAAGAAAAAGAAAAATACCAGATGGTTTCACACATAGCAGGAATTTAGAAAACCTAAATAAGGGACCAGGAAAAGACTAATTATAATAAAGTAAAAATCAAAATCAACAAGCAACTATCAACGAGAGACACGCTATGGGGGGCGGGGAGGAGGGAATAGGATCAAAATAAGGGGGGGTGGGAATTGTATGGGAACTATAACCAAGATGAAAATGCATACATTGTGAAAAAATGAAAAATGATGTAAAAATGCATAAAATTTAAAAAAAGAATAGAGGAATGGGGTCATGAACCAAAGAATGTCAGCAGCCCCTGGGAATGAAAATGAAAGAAATCAATTCTCCCTTACAGCTTCCAGAAAGAACCAGCATTACTGAAACACCTGACTTCAGCCTGGTAAAACTAACTTTGAACATCCAAAAATCTAAGAGAATACATTTCTGTTATTTTAAGTCACTGAGTTTGTGGTAATTTGTGACTGCAGAGACTGATAGGTGCAATTTGCTAAAATTAAAAAAATATATATATATAAGTACTGTCCCCATTTAATAAGTGACCAAATAGAAGGTCAGTAGTCTGTCCAAAGTCACACACCAGACAGCGGTAAAGCCAGTGTCAGAACTGGGAGTCTTACTCCAGAGAGTGCATTAGGCATGCTCATAGTTGTATTGTCTCTATGTGTTTTTCACTTTTTATTTTTTTTTCAAATTCTGCTGTTTCTCTTTATTCCATTGTAGACTCCTGGAACCCTTGCTCAAAAAAGCGCTCTTAATTAGAAATGCAGGTCTACTCTGTGCCAGTGATTACATTTGAAGCTGTTTGGTTATTTCTAAGGTCTTTATTCCCTATTTGTGGTTTCTCTAGTTTCACCTCTGTTTTCCCTGTTAAAAAGATAAGCAGCTGGGATTACATTAAACTAAAAAGCTTCTGTACAGCAAAAGAGACATTAACCAAAAACAAAGAGACACCCTGCTGATTGGGAGAAAATTTTTGCACTCCATATAACTGATAAGGGCCTGATCACAAAGATATACAAAGAGCTTACACGGCTCAAAAAAAAAAAAAGTAGACAATCCAGTCAAAAAATGGACAGAAGAGCTAAAAAGACACTTTTCCAAAGAGGAAATGCAAATGGCTAACAGTATATGACAGAATGCTAAACATCACTTATAATCAGGGAAATGTAGATCAAAACCACAATGAGATACCACCTTACACCAGTGAGTATGACACATACTAAAAAAAACTGGCAATAACAAATGTTGGCGAGGATGTGGAGAAAAAGAAACTCTCCTACACTGCTGGTGGGAGTGCAAACTGGTCCAACCCCTATGAAAAGCTGTGTGGAAGTTCCTCAAATTACTAAAAATGGAGCTTCCATATAACCCAGCAATTCCACTCCTAGGAATCTACTCAAAGAACACAAACACATTAACTCAAAAGGATACCTGCACCCCTATGTTTACTATAGCATGATTTACAATAGGTAAGATATGGAAACAACACAAATACCCCCAAATAGATGACTGAATCAAGAAGATGTGGTATATATACACAATGGAATACTATTAAGCACTCAAAAAAGATAAAACCATGCCATTCACAGCAACATGAATGGAGCTGAAAGGATTATGCTCAGTGAAATAAGCCAGAAGGCAAATATCAAATGGTTTTACTTATAGGAGGAATATAGGGGAATGAAATAAAGGATTGGGAAAAAATAACAATAATAATAAAAAAATAGCAGGCAACTATATATCAGAAACATTCTGCTAGAGAAGGGGATGGAAGAGCACAAGGGACTATAGTGATGGTGCACGTGTAAATTGGTGGTGGGAATTTTATGGGGATTACACCTGAGAGGAGAAAGCATACATTATATGAAAATAAACGATGATGTGAAATATATATATATATATATATATATATATATATATATATATATATATAAAGAAAAAAAAAGACCATTTGGCCATCTCAAGACATGTGAGCCCTGCTGAATTAGGAAAGGCAGCTCAAGAAGGAACATCTCAGCACATCTGTAAATCATCCACACCTGGAACTGCATGGACAACAAACACGGCCTTATAATGAGGACTTCTCACACTTAGCTTATCAGTGTAATTAGAAAATTACCTAACACTGTAAGGTCCGTCTCTGTCCCAAATGTATCATACTGTTGGAAAAGGTAAGGTTTTATTGCTCAGAGTTAGAGCACAGACAGTATGCATACATACATATAGAACATATACAACTGTCAAGAAACAAGTACAGTTTCATCAGGAAACTTCTAGAAGGAACTACCTCCAAAGGCAATGCTCTCCATTCTAAAATTCTCTAAACTCTAAGAAATTTGGAAAGGGTCTAGGTAGTCATTAATTTAATATGTTCAACTAGGGACAATCATTCGGCAAATGCATATTTTTCTTTTAAAATTATACTTTAATAAAAGTATTTAAAAGCTTGAGATGTTTTCCATCATTTTGCAACATCATGGTTAATTTTAAGGGCTCTGTGAGTTTGATTTGTATTTAGAAGTTTTACGATCTATATATAGGCTGGTCTTTAATAACCATTTATACATTGCTTCTTTTTATATAGGTCATGTATTCTCCTGGGAGAGTAACAAGATTAGAAATAACAAATACAGTACAGAATAAATTAAAGTGCTTCAAACTGCATTATATAATTTCAGAAAATTGGTTTCACACTGAAGCATTTAAATAAAAAAAAAACAAATGATTTAAGGGCAAAAACCACTTTGTGTATGCATTTGAGTTGTTATTGTTTAGTTTTATCCTCAGCAGTGTGGTATCTCAGTATCTGCTCACAGTGCTCCTCTCATGTGGCTGTTCATTTGGGTCAATAAGGATAAAATTATTGTTTTTTTCTATATTTAAAAAAAGTGGGCCTCATTCTCCTTGAAGATGACCAGCACTTATTACTCAAAATGTCAAAGTAGTACCGTAAACATTAACTGTATTGTTATGTATAATTCTCCATACTCTTGTATACAAAATGGTTTTATTACACTCAGTACAATAAATTCAGAGGCTGTTATGGGACAGATGATAGAAAAATTGGGACAAATACTTTTCTAATTACTTAGGTAATAAAAAGGGGGTTGGGTTTCCTCTCCCAAGTAAATGAAAGATGTGACCCTCTGGAGAGTCTATTATTCTAGCTAGTTTGGTTTGTTTCTGTGAAGTTTAGCATTACTCTCCTTGTGCTGAGTCCTCAGGCCGTTTTCAATTTTTCTATTCGTGCATTAAAGGCCTCTTCCTGTATTTGCAGCTTTTCGTTTATCTCGGTCTGTGAAGACAATCATAAAAAAAGTGGTTATGATGGAGCTATCTTTTGCTGCACATTGTCTTTGTGGTTTTGACATACTATAGTGCCTAAAGACAGACATTATCCCTCACACACCTTCCTGTTTTGCAGACATAGCCGTGTTTCAGCCTGTAGTGATGTGATAACACTTTATCATATTTCTCTGCACATTCCCAATGTATAGCATGTCTGCTATGAACAGGAAGTGGTGTTGGGACAGCCATTTTTCACATAGCCTTGTGTTGGAAGATAGGATAATTTATCTGTATTTTCAGACAGACTTTACCAATAAGCACCAAATCAGAATAACTGCTCTGAGCTCAGTTATTGCCATGTTGTCGGTCCCCCCACCCCTTTGCAATGGGTGTTTTTGTCTCCTGTGTAATACATTCTAAATGCGATCCCTGAGAGCTTCTGTTGTGAAATAACAACACAAATATCTCACAATTAGAACAATTCTCAAAAATTAGAGTAGTCATCATACATTTTAAGTCTTGGAATTATGCCACTTTGGGTGTAATTTTGGTTAAAAAAAATAAGCGAATGCTGACAGGTTTTAGTGTTTTCTGCAGCTGTGATAGCATTTAGCCTCTGGCAGTGCTCCTCTGTAGACTGACGTCGCTACATGATCTGAAAATTAGTAGCCTTGGAAATTTCTGCCCTTTTTGTTAAAGGATAATAAAATTAGGTGTAGCAAAACCATGGTGGATCATGTGATAGAATTGTTATATTTCTTTAGGTGTCTTGAAAAATGTCTACAAGTGGATGAGAGGTAGTTTATACAGATAAATATTAAGTAATTTAAAGTTTAGGTTGTTAATGTTCAGAACATAATTTGAGGTCTTCAGGATAACCGTATTTTGAGAAACTTATTATTTTAACTTATGTAGAAGAAATTTTAAAATTAAATTCTGTTTTTGGTCCGGATAGATCTATTTATTCTTATTTATGGGTATAACTGTAAAATAATTTTGAAATGCCCCAGACTATCAGGATGCTTTCTCTGATAAGATTTTATTTTACCTTCACAGTAGGACTTGTTATTTCTAAGAAGATAATTTAGTGTCAACAACTCTAGCCTAGATTCTCATGGAAGTATCAATCAGTTTTTTTTATTGTTTTGGCTCAAGTTTTATCAAGTCCTAGTGTCAAGCTCTGACCTCTTGGTTTTCATTTTTTCCTTTCTTGGTGGTTGGGTGGAGGAGGCCAAGAGAGATAGAAATGGTCCTCAAGTTCACAGTGGGACTCTATCATTTTTGTGGAATCGCTAGTCTCCTCAGGCATGGCTCTGGTAAGGGTGAAAGGAACCTGGTCTAGGAGTATGGCGATCTAGAACTATAAAGCCATTGGCAATTCACTTTATGCTTTGGGAGTTCTTATAGAAAAATTAAGTTGTCAATAAGATTATGTTAACATTACATGCTAGCTGTTAAATTCCTAATTCTAGTACCTATTTTAATGATATATTCATCAGTGTTATATTTTATTAATATGACATTATGAAATATTTAAAAAAATATTCTGCTTCTACTTTACTAAAATAAATTTATGACCTATGACATATTAGACCATAGAGGGACTGAAAAGATTTGAAGAAAGAATTTTGTCATGAATCTAAAGAATTGGAAAGTACTGTTCTAACCAATCAACCGCTCTTTCAATTAGTTTTTCTGTGTCTACCAATAATCTCATTTCTTTTCTATGAAGAACAGATGTACTATCATTTACCAACTTCATTATTTCACCAGGGTTTTTACAATAATTTGAAGATCTTTCTGGTATTTCACTGAGATAGAATTCATGGATACAAGAGTGGGCTTTGAAGAAATAAATGATCCTCCATGTTGTGGATGAACTCTGCCATATTTTAGGAATGTTGAAGGTAAGGAGCAGACTAAACAGAGTGGTGTCCTGAGAAAGAAGAGTCCCATTCGTGATCTATATGGTAGGGATCAATACTTCAGTTCAGGGACAGCCACTTGAATCTGGATGAAAAGACTCCCTGCTGGTCAAAAGCAGGTTGTCATTATTCTAAGATACCTCCTTGTTATTTCTCAGAAAACGGCAAACTGCTCAGCAGACAGCTATCCCATAACCCATAACCCATAACCATTAGGATTGGATATGGTTCTGTTTCCTTTTAGCAAAGAATGGAAAACCTGTGACCTGGGTTTTATAGTCTCTCATTTATCACTATGGTGAGGTGATCTTACGCTCAGTTTTTCTAACCTGGAAATTCAACTTGACCTAAAATACCTATGGCCCAGATGGCAAACTGCCCTCAAGGTTTTCATGTTATTTAACCCTATTGTTTAGACTGGGCCAGTGGCCAACATTTAATGTAAGAATTGAGTTTTAGTATTCATATTTCTCTGAAATATAATTCTTTAAATATATTAAAGCTTGCCCCATTGGGTACAATTTTTATTATACAACTCAGGGCCAAAATAATTTCATTTTGAAAGTATCTTTAAAATCAACCTAAACTATTTAAGCCTAAAATGTTTGGTCTATTCAGTATAATTTTAATTAACATCGCAGGGCCAAGATAGCTTTGTTCTTAATAAATCTTTAAAATTATAAAGCAAGTCAATGGGAAAGTAAGTCAATTAGCATAAAAAATTTAAGAATTCATACTACATTTTCAAAAACTTCCCATGTATAGAAAGTAAAATATGCCTGCACACCACACTGGAGAAGGAGCTTTGAAAAACAGTGTACTTAAAATATGAATTCTGTATTGCTTTTTCCACCAAAATTTATAACAGCATGACTTTTAAATAAAGAAGGAAGAAAAAACTGTTGGAAAAATTAAAACATCTTACAAATAATAATTGATTAATGTTTGTATATTCAGAAGGCTTATATACACTGACAGTGATATGTGGTTGCCTCTGAAAAGGACATGACAGTTTTAAGAGCCAGGAACACTGGAAAGCAGGTTTTTAGAACTGAAAATAACTTACTCATCTAAAACAGGAGGAGGAATTTAAGTAAGCAAAGACTAAATACCCATCTTAGAATTTGACCAAGATACAAGGATAAACACTGAAAAAGTGCTATACCACGGGAATATTAAAATTCAAAGTAGTCTGGTTATGATATTAGATACTATGTGATTTTTGTGGATGACACTAGAATTTGGAACAAGAACCCAGTATGCAGCTTCCAATGAGAGCCTTTCATCAGTTTTTGACCATGGAAACTCTGGACAAATGACTTTGCTTTCTGAGACTCATTTTTCAATTTATTTTTAAGGGAAGTGTCTGATTAATTCACAAGGAGCTTACTAGGGTTATTGAAAGAAAATACATGAAGATATTTCTTATGTTGATACATTATAGAAATCCATGTCATTGTACCATTTTATTAAAAAATTGGCGGTCATTTGACCCAGGCTAATGTGCATGAATCCATTTAATATGGAAATGATCATGACACCAAAATGATCTGTATCCCCTCACCTTCAGTCCAGTTCTTTCTATGCTTAATTATATATAGATGAGGCAGGTAATGAATTTTCAGGCCCAGTAAGGATGACTTCAGTCCAATGGGACAATCACACACATATAACAATCATATTCTTTCTGTTATAAAGTTGTGGTATAAATGCTACAGACTCTAATATTAAAAAAAAAATTCAACAAATAGTTAAAAACACACTGCTCACTGCCTGGAACATGGATGTGGAAAGATGTTTTCAATTTTGGTGGCCTGCAAACAATTCTATTACTGTCTAGTAGTTCCTCGGCAATAATTTCAGAGCCACAGGATCGCAAAGGAGCCCAGGGCCATGATTATACATAAACTATATTTAGATGAAATGTTATCAAATCTAAAAAGGAGATATGTTCTGAACTCAGCTTAATTCAACTGCACTCTGCCCTTCCACACAGTAACTAGTTATTACATTCGTGGGGTTATGAACAATAAAGCTTTGTATAAAACGTGTTCTTCCACTATTTCTGGTAAACACTGAATACCCCTTATTAAGCTGAGGACTTTGGCTGATTTTGTTGGCATCAAATCATTAAGTGTTCATGTAAATACTGCATTAACATTTGATGATTAAACAAGTAATAAGGTGTGCTTATGCCAAGCAAATCTTTTGCTCATTCTAAATTGTTAATACACTATGCTTTTTATATATAGGTTATCATATTCAGATAATAGCTAAATCTTTCCCTGATGTGCATTAATATTTTAAACACACAGCATATTGTCCTATTTTTTAAAAAAGATTTATTTATTTATTTATTTATTTATACAAGCACGGATACAGTCTGAAGCACGGGAGGGTGAGAGAATTCACCAGAGACGGAGTGGGGAACAGAACAGGCAGGCTGACGAAGTACACTGCTGAGGGGAGTAGCGGGTAAAGCAGGAGAGGTCTGTGTGTCATGTCGGATCCTCACCAGTGGCCAGGGATCAAATCGGTGCTGCAGAGGCTGCAGGCAGCTTCGCAGCCCAGGGCTCAACTACTGCGCGACCAGGGAGGCCCATATTGTCCTATTGATTCATGGTCATTGCCACAAGAAATTATAAATCCTTTCAAAATATGCAATTAATTTTTTTAGTCGTTATGCTTGGGAAATGATGCAAATCCTTACATTAAGGCAGAGATTTTTTTTTTTTCCCTGAGGGGAAAAAATAAGTATAGCTAACTGAGACATCTTTGGCAGTTGCTACTGAGAAGGTCACCACCGTCACCATTTTCATACAGCCCTACGTGTAAATTGCTGCGTTATTAGCCATATGTCAAAAAAAAAAAACACAAACCATCAAAGACTTGACAGACTCTAGAAACTTGGTGAGAAGACCAAGAATTGTGGTTTGATCTTCAGTGCTTACTGTTTAGAAGTGTCTTCCAATTACTCTTGTAGGAGCAATTGTTTACTGAGCAACAAGGCACAAAATTTTTGTCGTGCTTTTTTTTTGGGGGTTTTAGTGCTGAGTGATTTTATAAACTGATAACACACATTGCATTAAACGCTGTTGGCAAATCTATTTCGTGATCTTATTGGGTCGCAGATGACTCAACTGAGAATTATGTGTAGATGTTAAATTGAACTCTGCCATCATAAGCACCAGGCTTGCTTGCAGAGTGTGGGTAGTGTTTATAAGCATTAAGGTTGAGGTTGGCTAATTAACCAGTAATAAAGTAAATGAGAACATATCAAGACTGAGTACCTGAATGCTGATTAAAATATCATCTGTGACTTGATCCAACACTGATTTTATATCTTCAATGGTGAAGCCAACTAAAGGATCCATGGATGAAAGTTCAGCTTCTGACTGGGGCTGCTCAGGGCCTTGTTCTTGATCCAAACCCTAGAATATTGAAAGTAACCGACACTCAAGTGACTTCTGAAGTACTCACTGATTTCCATACAACCTCAAATTTCTCTTCTGTATTTTAACACTAAGAGTTGCGTCAGTGTGGAAGGAAATTTTGATTTGACATTATCCTGCATTTTTCTTGGCCATGAAATGATCCATGAATGGTGGGACCAAGTCATGGTGTGAAGCAGTGCCTATTTTGGGAAAGTGGAGACGGAGACCAAGGAAGCTGGAGTGGAAGATATTATAATCGCTCAGCCACCCTCAACTGACCCACCCATGATTAACACTAAAAGAAATATTTATATTTAGTTAGAAAAAAAATCAAATAGAAAGAAAATAGCAGGATTTGGTCTCTTCCCAACCCTAGAGACTATAATGCCAAGGTGTACTGAATAAAAGACAAAAAGAAATATACCTTCATTTCTGTATCCAATGTTGGTGGTGGTGCTATGAACGTTGAGTAAACATCAAATGAGATTCCTTCTTCTAGAGGATCAGGGAAAAGGCCTGAAGATTTGACAAGCTCTATCACTTGCTGGAGAAGAAGCAAAGAAAGAGCTGTATTATGACCAAGCCTTGGTGAGTAACCACAGTTTCAGTCAATCTTTGTGTCTCTCACCTCTCTCTCCCTCCCTCCCCTATATGTGTCTCTGTGTGTGTGTGTGTGTGTGAGATACATAATATCTCAAGTCCAAGTCTTTTATCATAAGTCATCTACAGTCCTACATTTCCTCAGAACTCTTGGCACCACTGTCTGCTTAATTTTCTAGTACTTTTTGGGCTCCATATCTTATAATGGTAATTAGCAATTTTTATTCTTTTCATTGTCTTATTCTCTTTGTATACTATGTGATTTAGGACTTCATTTTGTACTGCCTTGGTCTTTGTTTCATGTGTCATTATCCCTTGCTTCAGCCTACAAGCTCTTTGTAAGAGGAGACGATGTTTTAGACTCTCTGTATATCTTCTCTGGTTTTGGCAAAGGGTTAGGTGCTTAAAACATTCAATAATAGTCTGATGTCAATATTACTCATCAGTGTGTAGCTGTCTTGGGGTCAGTAGTGAAGTGGCCATCATGAACTTGGTGATGAGGACAATAAAAGCTCTAAAGGTTAATGTATAAAGTCATTTAACAGTAAATTAGAGAGGAGATTTGTGAAGTCAACCAAAAACACAGAGGGAAGGGCAAGACTTCATGTGTGAGCATTTAACAATTTTGTAATAAGAGTAAGCCAACCAGAGGGAGTGTGGCGGTTGCTCAACAGTGAAAATTAAGAAACAAGAGTCCAATTTAAGCAATAGCCATTCCACCATGACTTGGGGGAGCAAAAGAGATGAGGGTACTGATAGCATTAAACATATGAATCATTTAATTAGTTGCCATTGTTTTGATTCCATGGTTAATAAGCAAAATTTTAGTTAAAATTTGACTTCCCATTTCAATTGATCTATAAGGACATGCCCGTTTGAGTATTATGATTTCCATTTCTATTACATCCCTCATTGAATCTTAGTGAATTGATGTTCTAGTTTATATAGTTAAGCTCGCCGAGTTTGTTTTTGTGGCCCTGAGATGAAGCTTGCCACTGTATTCTGATAAAGTCAGAACCCAAGCCTACAAATCTGAAGAAAAACTTTGGCAATTTATAAATTCACCAAATAATTAACCATTCCATGAGGCCTGGAAAAACTCTGACATCATCATGTAGTCATTTATAACTTCTCTACCAACTTTCAAATAAATATTATGTGTTATAATATTTCACCATTCAATTATTAATGTTTTTTTTTATAAGGATAGGTATTAAAGTTAAGCAATGGGTTGGTATACCAAAGTACTTTGCATTGAATTAGTATGGTTAATTTTAATTTGATTTCAGAGGAAGTTGCTGCAAATATATAGAAGGAGTTGAAATGTCCTAACTTGACAGTCAAGGAGAATTTTGAAACCAAAAAATTAAATGATTGACTTAAGGTCGAATAATTACTTAGTGAAAGGGCTGGGAGTTAAACCCTGTTGTGCAGACAGCTTGGCCTATGTAGTTTTCAGTAAACTGTAATATGTCATCATGTTGCCATACTTGGAAATCACTGATATTATCATGCACTTAATCTTTGTGCTAAGTGACATCATTCCAGGTTGTTTATCTTAAGCCGACTAAATGTTAATGAAAATAGAATATGAAGAAAACATCTTTTCTTCTCATCACATTTAAGACTTTTTTTTTTCTAAATGGCACTTAGAAACATTTTCATCTTCCCACAAAATAATTTGTACCTTTTTCACTAGGCTTCTTTTTCATCCTCCCACACCTTATGTGGCTCTTTATTTTACCAAGTGAGGAAAATGAAACGGCTAAACATATTTCAGTGTCCTCTGAGGCATGAGAGGTATAATTAATAAATTGCATAGGGAATCCAGAAATAATGGGAGATGATGAGGTATTTACTTAGTGGTATAGACTTTAATCTCGGGTGAGAAACAGAAATTTTGGGGAGTGGTGGTGAGTGAGATATTGAAGAGAGAAGAGAAAAAGGAATCAAATTGTGTTAACTGAATTTACTGTAGGCAACGAGAAAGGCAGCATGAGCTGGCTAATTTGTGGGGTAAAAAGAATTTTATCCTGACTGCTGTCATAGTATTTGTTTTGTTGCTATGCCTTTCCATACACAGGCTAGGAATTTCTGTTCATTTTCTCCCACCTCCCAGTGGAAATTCTCAGTAGTTTGCTGCTCCATCCAGGTAGTAGCAGAGTATACCATCTAACACCTGTACCCTTTCTGCATTAGATGACACACTTAAATGCAAGCGGATATCATGCTCAAGCCTCTCATTTGATCCCTCACCCCACTGTGCTCTAGATTTCTTTCCAATGCTCATCTGAACTACTTGCCAACTACTCAGTTTTTCTGGTCTTTTGGAGAGAGAGAGAGAGAGACAGAGACAGAGAGAGAGAGAGAGAGAGAGAGAGAGAGAGCGCCAGAGAGAGAGAGAGCTGGGCAACAGTTGCAAACATGGAACTCCTCAGCACCACATCTTAATTTCTTTGATGGTGTGAAGCTCCCACTTATCCCAAGAACCTGAAGGTCTGACTGAGAGTTGGGCTTTTCTTTTTCTTAATTTCTATGAGTGTAGCTCATACAGCTATTTATTTGATTAAATTTGTGCACAAAAACTGGGGGGTGAGAATTTCTTTTCTTCGGGGTATTTTGCATACTATCCATGAACCAAACCGTAGCTATGTTTTTCTTTTACATGAAGAATTACATTTGGCTATATTAGTAAAATACTGTAGGAAAAGAAATGTTCCAGTTCCAGATGAATGTTGATACAAAGCCATTTCATTAATGATAAGAAGATAAAGCGTCAAACATATAGTTTGAAATAAATAAAGTGGCCAGAAGCATCATAGTGATTTTCCCCCCATTAAGTAGCCTTTTTAAAAAACAAGTTTAGGGAAAATTAGAATCAATAATTGTGGTGAGAGCTCAGAGCCAGCAAATATGTTTAAATGAAACCGTCTGATGTAATACTTTCTTTAAAAAATACAATTAGGCCTTTGTATTTTTTTTTAACAAAACCTCATGTTTTACAACATCACTGGTTCTGTAATAAAATCTATTTAAAACAGAGAGACATGGTCAGCTTTATTAAGTTAGATTTTCTGAAAGAACGTTATAATTTCCTCAAGTCTATGAATAGTTGAAGCAAATTAAATAAAGCTAGTTTTATAACTATTTTTATACATTCCTGTAGAATTGTAATTGTCTCATATTTTTTTCCTCAAAAGTCTTATATGTTACCTCTTAAATCTAGAAAAATAAAAACAGAAAAAGGATCAGTGTGTTTATTAAAAAAACACTCCTATTTGGAATCCTGATTTAGTAACCCCCCCTTTCTTTTCTAAGAGAATAGCACCCACAATCTTCAGATCAGGAAACAAAGGGAAAGACTTTAAGTGACTTGCCTGAGGCCTAATGCTGAGATTAAAAATCAGGAGTTTCTGATTATACACATACATCCATTTGGCCAAATGATTGGTTTTGCTTGACTTTCAAATACCCCCTAAATATTACTTTGAATGTAAAGCAATAAATGTGTTTCTCTTGCCATTTTTGAATGCTTGCACACAAATGGATATAATAAAAACAATCATGTCGTTCCATGTGAATGCCATTTATATTTTTTCTGATAATGAGCCGACCATTTGAACCAAGGTGAGTACATTAAAAGCTCTAATAAAGAAGAGAATAGATTTCTAAACAGAATAATGGACTGTTAAGTGAACATACAATAAATAACATCTACAGATGTGGTTACTAGAAAATTAGTTTTGCATAACTTACCAATATATATTTCCCCCAGATGTTATCTGTTACATGAAAATTAACTTAAGTTAGTTATATTGTTCATTATGAGCACATTGCATTTGTGTTATTTAAGATGGTTTACAATCTGAGCTTTAGTTGAATTGTGCTGTGGTATTTAAAGAATATCAAGTAAATGGCTTTTTGGCATAATTTAATACTCAAAAGTACAAAATATCATCATCGAACATTATGAAGATCTTTACTCACAAGCCAAATGAAATCACTAGATGTCTTTTAAGGACTTACATATTCAAAATGCAATGCACATCTGTCACAGGAATAAAGGATGGGAATTTTGAACCCTCCTGGAACTGAGTGCAGGGTCTGTTTATGTCTAAAAACATGCTTATAGGAATTAGAATCTACTTCCAGATCTTACTGTATCTGAGAAGATATATAAAGATTTTGTCTGAAAATTGTGTTACTTTATGCTCTTTTCCTACTTTATATGTTAATATTATGACAGTGTTAATGGCTTATTTGTTTCTTTAGTAATGCTTTGTGGAGAAAGTGTAGGTGATTTGTGGGTGGGGACCATACTATTGAAATCTATGATTAAGGTGGGAATTAAGAAATTATTTAAGATACTAGAAACACCACTGAGATGACAACGTTTCACTATTTTGAATAGCAGAAAGCCAGATAAATCTGTTAAAACCCTTTTTGAGCTACAGGAAACATGCAAAAAACTGGTTTGCTTTAAGTTGACATTTGTTTGGAATTGTCAGATAATGACTTCATATATAAATCAGAACTTACCAGAAAATGTCAAAGTTTCAAAAAGTAAACTTTGTTGCAAACTTTTCCTATTCTAACTAAGGAGAAAAGGCTCAAAAATTCCTGTAATGTTTTTACTATATTCTCCCCATGAAGAAAGACATTATTCATTTGCAAGTCTAATTAAGAAGTACTTGTGTGGTTCTGGAAAATTTTCACAAACATTGTAACCCATTGCCCACAGTAGACTACACATAAAGTGACAACATATGAATGCCACCTGCAAAAGGCAATAAACTCTGGTAATGTCATACTGAGGCCATAAATTTGAAATCAAAAGAGGAAATTCAAAAGCTACGATTATCAACAAAACTTGAATCCGTTTCTAAAGTGTTTTTCTTTTGTGTCAGGTCATTACAAACTTCTTAATATACGCTATAAATGTAG